GCTTCTTATCAATTACTGCTTTCTCTTAGCACGATATCACATATAGCTCGCTAAAACAAAAGATGATCATCCGAATCTTACGCATTTCATATACACACTCAAATCACAATATGAGATAGAAACAAAAAGTGGAGACACAAAGAAGTAGAAACCTCTTACAGGATATATGAGGATTTAATTAATATTTTAGATTATATTTTCTATAGGGTTATCTATCTCCCACCCATTAATCTATTTCTAATCTCCTGTCATATGCATAACTCATTTTACTTTTAATGTACCACATGCCTTTGGTCTGTTTTTTGTTTCTGTACTACAACCTCAAGCTGTAATGATAACTAGCTATTTTTCCTCTCAGTTTTTTTTTCTTTGCCCCTCGTCGTCACTGTATTTCTTAGTTGTGTACGAGTGAAATTCAGCTGATCTAAGTTTTTATTTTATTTTACACCATTTTATTTTACACCATTGTACACAATTTACTTTTCACCTCTCTCTCAGTACTTCTCCGTAACAGAGGAATAAGGAACATGTAAAATAAACAGGTTTAGTCAGACAAAAAAAAAAAAAAAACGTATTCAATGTACAGTTCTATTTTCATTCCTTTGGATATTGTGTATACAATTTGCGGCAAAAATATTCCCTTCAAAATCCATAGTTTGCGATTGGTGATGTGTTTTTATAGTTCATAATAGACCATAGTAGCAGCATTGATTTTCCTAAGATTTTTAATTATCCAAACTACTTTTTACGGGATTGTAGCTTTCCGTGGTGTTTCAGCAGCAAATGGTGATAGTTTTTCGTGGGCAAAAGTAAAAAAAATTCTATTAATCTGTGTGAAGTTAAGTTAGGTCGATGTCCTCGATTCCTTCAACAGAGACCTGAATTAAAACACTCAGACAATAAGATTGACTCAGCTAGAACCAAAATAACAGAAATAAAAGGACGCAACAGGCTTATCTTTAAAACTGAAGTTGAATCTTTTCATTCAGAAAATCTCTAACAAGAAAACCCTTAGAGGTTGGTCTTGATATAAATTACGTCTAACAGATATCTCGGTTGACCAACTGCATCATGCCCTGCTTGTGTATAAACATAGCTATCGTTTTTATTTCTTCAGTTGAAAACGTTATCGTTTTTTGATGCGTGTTTTTGTTACGTATAACTGCCCAAATCATAATAGGTTGTGTAGTCTTCTTGAAGATGGCAGTGACTCTGAATTAGTTCTGTCGCTATGAATTTTTCTGTCAAAATGTAGGTTGATCACGAGATTTCAACCAGATTCTTTGTAGATTGAGGTTTCTATTACATATATCGGTTCCTCGCGACCTTACAGTAAACAGTGCACTTGAATATTGGTTACGTTATTTTTGCGCGTTTCTTTAACTGTATATACGCCTTAGAATTCAGAGTATTGCATTTGTGATTGATTACCTCGGTATAATAGGTGATTTACACACAATTCAGATCTCGGAAGTAATAGTCCTAACTGGAAAATTCAAAATTACGTTTTCTTAATCCAGTTTTTATTCTTAACTCTTTCGCGTAAATCTTTTTCTACGCCCCAGGACATCGTACGTATGTTTAGTATGCAAGTATCGCTCAGACTTCGAAATGTTATAATGTTATGTGTGCTTGCTAGATTTTTCATTTTCAATTCCTGTTCAAACGTATTTTTTGGTAGAGTGGTCAGTCTTTACTAGTAACGATCTTTGCGAACCAGTATTAACGTGAATAATTTCTTTCCAGAAAATTAGACATTTATTACGGTACTCATTTGGTTTGTTCAACATCAGGGGCGTAGCTAGCCTTTAAGCCATTAAGCACGGGCTTAACAAGAATTTCTGTAAATAATTTCTTTAGTAGCCGAAAGGCCATATTTTCTTTTTCTTACTATTCAATAGCTAATCACCGCAGTATTAACGTTTTATTTTGAAAAACAAAATAATGACTTTCAATCTTATACATGAGGAAATGCTGAAAGGTTATTAAGAAAGCAGAACTTTGAAACAGTTTTACGCATGGAAATTTAGTTGACTGTTGTTGTTGTTTTTGGACGTTGGCAAAATTTGATGTACGATTTACGCTGTACAATTTGGGCTTTGCTTAAGCAATGACGACGGCAACGCCAAGGACGACGGATGGAAAAAAATTGACTTAAATTTTACTTTTGAATTTCGCAATTATCTAGAACTGTTCTGCAAGCCGAGCGGTGTAAAACCTTACTCAAGCTAAAGATGTAACGCCAGCGAACAATTCTAGAAGAAAATACGAAAAATTAGCTGTCGTGGCTCACGTTTTTCAGAATACCCAAAACTTGGTCATTTCACGTTGTTGTTTCGCAGAGGACAGCATAGCAATGTACAAAGATTTACAAAGCACGTGCCCAGCTATTGTTCTGCTCATTAAACTTTTTTTTTTTTGGTGACGTTCTCGTTGCCTTCGTCGTCGTGGTCTGCTTAAGCTCCCTAATTTTGGAAGAAAAATTCTTGGCTTGTTCAATATGTCTTTTATATATTAATCATTTTGTTTCGAGGAATGGAAATACTGAATATAGATTTCAGACGAGGAATCCGATAGTGCCAATTAATAAAAATAGCCTTATTTTGAACGTACGTAAATAGTGAAACATCATAAAGTTATTTCTCCTCACCCGTCTTGTAAGTTAATTCATACAAACTCTTGGACAATATTAACAGAGAGAGTTTGCATTTTTAGACAAACACCTATTGTTAGAAGTATGCCTTTTACGATTTCGTTCAAAGTTATATCGTTATCTGCACCAACGACTTGGTAAGCTGATCACTTCCTAAATTGTTTTCTGGCATGTGTGGCTTCAAAATCGTGGATATTAAAACCAAGTAGTGAATGTTACGTCTCGTTTTTCGCATTCGAATTTTCAACAGCGCTTCATCGCAATGTTTAGGTTTTCAAGAGCGTTACAAAGTTGTTTGTGTCATGTGCAAAATGCTTAGCATGGAGTGATTTTACTGAACCCGTGAAACAGAAACTATTTGTTAGTGAGTAATATTGTCTGCTAATTAGTATTAGTGCGTGGCATACAAAAACAAAGACTTGAAAACAAAAGAATTGCTAACTATAGGGGGATAGTAGGAACTAATACGAAGTTGAGGCGTGTAAAATTCCACTATCTATTTCACGGGTTAAGTAAAACCACTCTAAGATGTGCACGCTATCGCAGAGAATTTTAATGTTTGCTGCGAAGGAATTGAATGTGATGTTACGCCATTAAATTGGCGTTGTCTTTATTAATTTCTTCATTGCTTATTTTTATCCTTCTTTATTTTGCAGGGAGTCGCCTATCAAGTCGGCATTAAACTGCGTCGTAGACTGATTCTGTATAATAAGGCTGCTGCAAGCTCTCTCAGCGTGGAGCTTTCTCCTTACATTGCTTATTGAAGCACAGATATGTTTAATAAAGAACGCGAAAACACGTTGAACATTTAATCAGGTTGAAATGTATCGGGAAAAGAAAACGAAAACTATGGAACGAGAATAACTACGTTACACAGATTGTATGCTTGCCTTTATTCAAAAATTCTAAGTCTTTTACCAGGAAATTTTTGAAAAATAAACTAAGTCTTTTGGCGGGAAATTAAACAAGCCTGCGCTTTTACAGTCTGTAAATGGAGCTAGAGATTTGACAAAACTATACTAAGTCTTTTGGCGGGAAAATAGTATGCGTTTTTAAACTGTGCCTGGAAAATTTTCAAAAATAAACTAAGTCTTTTGGCGGGAAAAAAGTCTGCGCTTTAAATTGAGTCTAGACATTTGTCAAAAATAAACTAAGTCTTTTGGCGGGAAAAAATCTCTGCAGTTTGCAGTCAGATTTTGCCCATCAAAATTCTGCCTTTATTTTGACTTGTTACTAGACCTTGTTTAAAAGTGCAGAACGTTTTTCCGCGTCGGCAACCCTACATAGTCAAAAAATAGTAAAAGAGATAGCCTACATTTCGACTAGTTTCCAGGCCCCTTTAAAAGCGCGCATTTTTTTTTTATTAAGTGACATAAGACTCATTTGTTGATTACAATATTGTTTCTTTATTTCCATTCAATAAAGTATTCAATTGATAACTGATTTACAAGTTGTGATCTTTATTGAGTATATATTTACAAGTATGAGAACTATTTAACTAACTACTAAGGTCAATGGATGCAGAGTAATTTTACGAGTCGTAAAATTTCTCTGTATCTATAGACCAAAGTAATTATTTAAAACGGTTCACAATTAGAACTAAGTATAATAAATTTCTAACTAGTAATTACAGCAATGAAGGGAAATAACAAATTTTTACAAGTATTTTGAAGTCAAAACTGAAACTACAGATTGAAGGAAAAAATGTTACTGCAAATATTAAAACCTACTTACTAAGTCTGATAAATTTCTAACTAGTAATTACAGCAATGAAGAAAAATTGAAAATATCTACAAGTGTTGTAAAGTCAAAACTGAAATTACAGATTGAAGAAAAAATCTATACTGCAAATTTTAAAGAACACCCTATTCACTTTTATTAATGAAAAATTCTAGTAACAAATCAAGCCAGATTTGGTAACAAATTTCTCTAAAGTCAATAACATGTTAAATTTTTCAATGCGTTGAATTCAAACTAAGCGCAAGGAAACCAAACGAAAATGTCATAGTAAGTTGAATGAAAAGAAAATTCGGCTAGAAACTCAATGTTGACCTCCACGAATGATTCTGTTAGTTCGAGATTTGTGAAATGACAATATTATATAATTTGAGTTGTCTGCTGTAGGATATATCGTAAATTCTTTCACTCCGTTTACTGGAAAATCTAGCATTTCAAAACGTTCGTTGAGAAATTCAGCAACATTCATAGAGGACGAAGTTACTCAAAAAAAAAGGACTGATATGCAAAACGACAATATTACGGCAAGATTTTGAAAAAAAAAACATTCACAATTATTTATAGCGCCTTAGGCCCTGTTTACAAGGAGGTAGGTTAACCCTAATGCTAGCGTTACCCTACCTGCTTGTAAACAGGGCCTTAATTTAAAATGCAATGTACGAAACGACAGCAAAAAAATTAACATAAGATGAAAATAGTTCTCTGGAAGAAAAACTGTACGGCGAGATCTTTTAGAACACTAGCAATTAATTACGCCGTAAAGATGACAAAATTACTTCAAAAAATTGAACTAAAACTGCATGACCACCAGCAAATTTAGAACTCTGGTAGAAAAAAAAGTACGGCGTGATTTTTTAGAACATTCACAATTAATTGCGCCGTAAAAAGCATGACGAAATTTCTTTAAAAATTTACATAAAGGTGCATGACCATCAGTAAATTTGGTCTCTGGAGAAAAGAAATACTGCGAGATCTTTTGGAAACATTCACAATCAATGGCGCCTTAAAATAGAAAACGAAAAACCTCAAAAATTTAAATGGCGTAAATAAATTTAGGAGTCGGTCTGGTAGAAAAATGTAAAGCAATGTTTTAGACTTTGAAATATTCTAAATTAACAGCGCCGTAAAGAATCAAAAAAGAAATTTAACGAAAACATTTTTACCAGGTTACATGAGCGACGAAACGTATAGGTCGACTCGGTTTGGTTTCAATAACATGGGTCCGCGCGCACCTATGGGCGAAATCTTAATTCTCGTCACCGAATAGCATACATTTCTTTTACCATTAGTTATGAGAATTTGGTAGTAGATCAAGACAGTATTCCCTAGTGTAAGTCTCTTCACCTGACAGTTTGAAAGACGAAATTTGATGTCCTGATTGTTCTTGGAAATAAAAAAAAAACTTAATGTTGCTTTGCTGTAAATGTTGTTCTTTACGTAACGGACCACATACAACGAACATTTAGTCTCTTCTTCGTATCCTTCGACATCTGGTGTCCACGAACATCCATGGGAGCATAACATCCATGAGAATCTGTCACTGGGTCTCGCGAAAATGCTAAAAGAGGCGTCATTCTGTAAAAAATAAAACCCGTGCATGTTAACAATGTGTTTTGCTTTAAATTCGGTCTCATTCATCAAGAGCTGTTCTGAATAATTCGCAATATTAATGCATGGAAAGATGCAAACTATAATTACCCGTCAAAGCTACAAGGAGCTAAATAATTTACTCTTTTCTTGTGGAAATAGATTTGTATTATTTCTGATAGCTACTACGATTGCAGTTTAGCATTTGATGCTAAATATCGCATTATATCTAGACTCACTAATATATTTGTTTTGTGTATAACTAGCTTCGATGATCAGTCATATCTTCAGATTAGCATTTGGCAGATGTCTTCCAGTTTCAAGTTGTTGGAATAGAATAAAATCAATTTGCTAATTTGCATCAGAATGAAAAAATTAACAGCCTGTTGAAGGTCATTCAAGGTCACC